TCTTCAGCACCTCCACTTCTGGTTTGCGGCGGCGGCGGCAGCAGCAGCGGTAGCAGCACACGCAGCACCGCATGCAACACACCCGCATCCGCGTCAGGCACCTGGCGACAGAAGACTCTCAGCGGAATGGTGTTTTTGCAGAGCTCACCTCTACATACATCATGAATATCACGGCGCGCATCATGTTTTGAGTTGTTCTATAGCAAGTCGCCACAAAAACATCATATCCAAGGAATATGCCCTGAAGCATGCCAGGACACAAACGTGTTGACTATGGTTGTAATGAGGAAGCTTCAACGTGGAAGCTGACAGGAGAACAATTTTGCTATGATTGTCTGTGGGGCAAGCAAGCATACAGTCTACAGTCCTTGAGGGTCGACCATGCCAACCCCCGACTCAGAACAGAGCCATTGAGAAGCCATGTCCTCCACTGCCAAACTCAACATTCCCAGGAAAAGATAAGCTGTTTCAATTTCCCAGAACTTCTGGTCGGTGGGCTATACCGTCATGTGCTCCCGTGGGCTTAGGGCGTGGAGATCCGGATTTCCAGACCGTCGGCCTCGTGAAGGTTTTCCAGACAGGACTGCAGGCCAGGCAGTGTGCTTTCTTGGGTGCCCTAAAAACGGTAAAAAACATGGCCGTTCCCATCACGCTGACAGTTCTGCCTCGAGATGGCTTCCCTGACAGGCTTCGTGTCCAGCCAGAAAGAGGCCTCTTGGCGAATATGTGTTTCAAGCAAACTAGACGTTGGCCTTCATCTTGACAAACTTACTGCTTCTCTTGTAGCACCAGGCCATTGAAAGAGGGACCCCGTTACGAGGACCGTAGCGGAACCCCGCCTAAGGCACACGTGCAGCCTAGAAAAAAGCGACGTCTGCTCCAAGACACCTTCAGTTGTGGCCCCCCCCGCCCCTTCCCAAGGCACGACTTCTTGAGGCGCTCCTGGACCTCCTCTGGCTGTTCCTGAGAACAGCAGAACGGGGCCGACGGAGCCATCAAACGCCGACAGCTTTCTTGGGTGCCAAAGATTGGCGCCTGAGCATTCCGTTTTTTTCGCGGCTCGCGGTTCAGGGTAGTCCTCCGAGCCTCCGGTGTTTTCTTCTTGGTGTATGTTATCAGCTGCTTCTGCTGTTGCAAGGAATCCACCGCATGCTAGTGCGGAGATTCCTGCGCAAACATGGGCTCCGCTACTTTAGTGCAAACGGTGTGAATGGATCCTGATAGCACCCACTACCGGCAGACAGCCGCTAAAGGCAACAGTGTCTTTTCTCTTGGGGGGGGCCGCAAGCTCTACTGGGAAGCCGCTGCGAGACATACGCATTATCCACACGCAGTGGGAAGTGTACTGAAAGGGACCCTACTGGGGATGGACGAAATCCTGCACCTAAGAATCCCTGCAATGATGGTTCCACTATCAATACCAGCAAACAATGCTTTCTCATGGTTTCAAAGTCGTGCAGGATTTTGTCCATCCACAGTAGGACTCCTAAAACCCATATCCCTTCCCAGAAGTGCCTGGCACCGAAATTAAATCCTCCCAAAGCTTCAGTTTCCCGACCTGGGTCATTTACTCGAAAGAACTGCGAAGAGCCACTTAGACAGAGTCCCTCACACACATTGGCGACTCTGAATCCCAAGCTTTGAGCAAAAGATGTGTGTTGAACCGCTGGCAATGCAGCCTTCCTGCTGTTGAGCACTGCACAACTACCTGAGGGGGGAGCATTGGGAAATCGGGTAACATGGAATTTGCTGGACATCATGTTCAAAAGCAGAGATCACGAAAGCACATGTCACCACTTTCAAATCGGGGAACAGGGCAACCGCAAAGAACAGCTAACACCCCGCTCTTTCACTCCAATAGCACCCCCTCAAGCCACTGCACCAGGGCTTGGGCATGTGCGAGTTCGTCCGAATTGTGGGTGGAGGCCAAGTCAAATAAGATCTGCCAGGCGAGAAACTGATTCGAAATCAAATGCGTTGCACGCAAGTTGGATGCGCGATCAGCAAGATTGCAAATTCATGCGGCAAAGCACCACTATTATGAACATTCACCTTCAACCTTGAACTAGGCAATCCCGCCTCATGCGGGATTACTCTCCGGCATGACTGCCCCTTTCTGTAGATTTCATACCTCGGCGAATTCAGGTGATACAGTAATTGCAGGCTCTTGCTACGCCTCGGTGCAAGCGAACTGTCACACATTAGCAGTAACTTCAGAAAAACAAGTAGCAATCAAGCTAGCAAGCAAGCAAACGAGCAAGCAAACAAGCAAGCAAACAAGCGAGCAAGCAAGGCACGCACGCACAAATGCAAGCACGCAAGCACGCAAGCACGCAAGCACGCAAGCACGCAAGCAACAAAGCAAAGCAAAGCAAAGCAAAGCAAAGCAAAGCAAAGCAAAGCAAAGCAAAGCAAAGCAAAGCAAAGCAAAGCAAGCAAATAAGTAACAAATTACAAACATGTCCCTATGTCATCTGCTTGTGAGAGCTGCCACGAACTACCCCCAGAGTAGTTGTTGTACTTTTCGTTTTTTTAGCGCAACCGCTTCGAACATGTCCGAAGGCTGGGCACTTCCTTTCAGAGCACACTATGGCACGGACGACTTGATCATCACCTGATCCAGTGGTAGAACCTGGAGAGAGCGCCAAGAAATGCCAGGAAGAACTTGCTTGGAACAATTCTCTGTTAGTTCATCCCATACGTCGATAGTCAATCCTGAACAAAGATCATCCTCAACCAGAATTGATGCAGCTATCCTTCCACCTGAAATATGACAAATGGCCGGACATCGGAGCACCTCGCTGATTAGGGGCTGCAAGCAAGACATGCATCCTGCATCGAAGTAAGCACATCTCAGAGGACATGGACATCTCCCCCAATCAGGCAATGACAAGGGCCCACTACAACCAAATCGCCCTCCAGCTGCAACATGATGGAAAATGTGTATTTTTTTTACAGCGGCTCAATGTGATTTGTCGGCCAAGGCATGACATTCACTGGCAACTGATCAGAGCTGGCAACTCCAGCAAGAACAAACAAGCGCAAAAAACCACGCACAAAGCAGAGCCTGATGTGTGACAAAATTCAGTAGATGACGTTGGCAAGCTAATTTGCAACACAACATGACATTGCTCGAGGTCGATTGGGTCAAGTACAAAATATACTGCCGCTACAGGCAGTGATGCAGGAAGAGACTTGCCGTTTTCAAAAATGGAGAGTGTCAGGGACGGGATCAAGCGACGGCGCAAACCGAAGACTCTATTCCACGGCCTAGTTGCAAACCTCAGTCCAGGTATATGAAGAATGGATGATGGACCCTCGCAAATGCCGGGGGTTTGATCCTCCAGCGCCGGCCCCAAACCAAAGAACCCAGACTTTTCGAGATGCAAAACACGGCTCATGCCTTGGACTGGTAGATCTCATCGTTGAGGCTCAAGCTATCCTGCGCAAATGATCCATGCATTTGCGTCACGACGTTGGGGGTGTTGGGCATCTTCAGTCAAACGCTTCCCAATGAAGTCTAATGCAATACTGCGGATGGACGAAATCCATTTCGCACCACCCAAGAAATCCTGGAATGTTGATTTGTGTAAATATCGACAAATATTGGTTTCTCATGGTTTCATCTCGCAATGCTGTGCGAATTCCAAGCTTGAGACACTCAGTGAAGCCATGCTCAAAGAATCTCGGAGAGTCGTGAGGGCGCTTTGAGAAAGACTGTGGTCTTTTTGCTAAATGTGTCAGCTTCCGTGATGCCTATCCGACGATTGCCTTTGAAGGTATCTGAGATCGAAACTTGCCTCATCCACCACGAAGAACTCCAGGGAGCAAAACAGAGTTGGAGCGGACACTTGGAATGCCTCAGTCGTCTCGCCAAGGGAATGCAAAGGAATACTCTTAGGAGTGACAAGGCTTGGAGCGGATCACCGATGTTGGCCAGAAACTGAAAGGGCACGTGCCCATCGCATGTCTCAATATGAGTGAGGCGTTAATGCCAGTTCCAGCTGCGCATCCTGGTCCTAGGAATTCTCAACAAAAGAGTAGATATCAACAATATTTGCCTTGATCAATTCCAGAAAAGCAAACATCTGATGGGAACCGGAGGCTCACAAACCCCAAGGAAAATCACGCGGGTGTGTCCGCTGTTTAATTGTTTGGCCCTCCGGTTGATCCCTCGAGATTTTAATTGGTGGTCCCCTGCTTATGGTTTCGTAAGGAGGTGTCCCATTTTCAAGGGGGGTCAGACCACTTAAGGGAAGCCCCCTTCGAAAAGGACGGTTCTACTTAGATCCGAGGTTCCCATTACGCGTTCGCTAACAGCAGGGAACAAGTTGAAACCCCGCGATTGACACAGTGACTGATTTACTGGCGGCATTTGGATCCCTTCGAACCTGGGTCTCAACACAACAGCTGACAGGGGAAATCAAAGTCCGACTGCACAGGGTAGGCTAAGTTTGCGGGAAGAGAAAGCAGACCAGAAAAACGGCGGACGGGACCTCAACAAAACTTTTTGAGCCTAGATCATCTTTCCTGGGCTGTCCATATGATGGGTTAAATGGAAACCCAACCACGAAACCAACTACAAGCCTCAACACAGGTTCCGCCAAGTTTCAAGGGGACACCGTGTCTTCCACGAGGGGAGCCAGGCCACACCCCCCCCCCATTTATCATGGTGATTTCGTGAGTGCGGCCCCATGCCATCCATGGCCGTGAAACAAATGTGTGCGTGCCAGGTGAAAATGGTTTGCAACACGAGGCGTTCTCTGGATTTCACCTGCTTTTCCCTGGGCCTTTTTCTTCTACTATGCTAGTCAGGGTGGATCCACAAATGCCGCATCCGAAGCGAAGAGCCAAATTTTCGGCCTTGATGTTCTAGATGCTCTCTAGGCAAGTTATAGCTATGTAAGCTGGAAAATGGTTGGCGGCCCATGACTTTAACCTGTTTACTTGTCGGTTGAATGAACTTCCAAGTATTACCCTTCGTCTCCTTTCTGAGGGCACCTCAAATGTTCCTTCACTCCATTTTAACAGCCTACCATATTACCCCACTTCCGGAGTGGACTGGCAAAGAATCGCAACCCAACGTTTTCATTGCCGGCGTCCGCGGAGCCAAAACTGGGCTGTCCAAACTGATCCCTTGCTATAAGGTTTAACTTTTAGTGGGTCGAATTGACTTGAGAAGCGGGGAACGAAAGCTAGCGTATGCAAGGTATCGGAGTGTCCGTGGTCAGTTCCGGCCTCCACTCCTGCCATCTCATCGTGTGTCGTTTCGCTTGTGCCTCTTGCAACCCATACTCTGCATCGAAAATCCACGCAGTCGCATGAGCTCATCCGTAAACCACACAATCCGTAACCCGCTAATCAACGCTTCGTCCAATCAAAAATGGCCCTAGGATTAAGCATGAACAAAGCGCATTGTTCATCTTTGATCTTTTGGGAAGCGCGTAGCGGCTGAAAGCTTCAGTAATTGAACAGGTTTGTGGGGTCTCTTGAATCAAAGATGGCCCCGGGATTAAGAATGAGCAAAGCGCATGGTTATTCATTTTTTGGGAAGCGCGTAGTGGGCAACAGCTTCAGTGTTTGAACAGGCGCGCGGGGTCTCTTGAATCAAAGATGGCTCTGAGATTAAGAATAAACACAGCGCATTGTTCATCTTTAATCTTTTGGGAAGTGTGTAGCGGGTAAAAGCTTCAGTGTTTGAACAGGCGTGCGGGGTCTCATGAATCAAAAACGGCCCTGGGATTAAGAATTTAATCTTTTGGGAAGCGCGTAGCGGGTAAAAGCTTCAGTGTTTGAAAAGGTGTGTCTCCTGAATCAAAGACGGCCCTGCGATTAAGAAGGAACAAAGCGCCCTTCTGATCTGTCCGAGGGGGCCTTCGGATTCCTGCGACCCGCTTTGCTTTACAAATGGATGGCGTTGGATTATTTGGTCTGCGGGTCAAAGTTCGAACATCCAGTGACACCGAGCAAGCCAAACATTCGACTACCCCCAACAAAAGGTGGTCCAGGATGAGTTCGAGCTCACTGGGCGCCTGATATATCAGCCCTCTTCGGGGGGGGGGGGGGGAGGCCCTCCACGACCCTCACAACTCGTGAGAATTCAGGCCACAATGCCTACCTCAAGCTTTTCGACCGCCCCTTCTCAAGCTGAGATAAAGGAAAACTTCCGCCTAGCTCCAAGGAGCTGGCCTTCGTGAGAACCACTCTAAGGGATTTCCTACAGGGATTACATAGGGAATTTACCCAACAGCACTGACTGCTTTTTGAACCCTGCTGCTAATGAACGGAACCAAAAAACAAATGCCTGACAACTTGTGTTCACAGTGAAGTTTTCAAGGGGGTTGAGCCGCACTTTGGATGCCGCATCAAACTATGGAGTTCATCCCAGATTTCCTGGACGGCCCCTGTTGCAAATTGCCCATATTCAAGCTCAGCTGTTCGTGCACTTGGGTGCTGTCTCCGCCATATCCTGGATCACCCCAGGTCACAACAGCCCCAGATTCAAGAATGGCAGCAAAAGCACGGCCAGTTGCTTGGATGCTCTGGACGTTCCTCAGCTGGTCTTGCACCTGGCTGCTGTCTCCGCCCCAGTCTGGATCACCCCAGGTCACAACAGAACCAGATTCAAAAATGGCAGCAAAAGCGCGGTCAGTTGCTTGGATGCTCTCCACGTTCCTCAGCTGGGCTTGCACCAGTCTGCTGACTCCGCCGAATCTTGGATGACCCCAGGTCACAACAGCCCCACATTCAAGAATAGCAGCAAACGCACAGTCAGTTGCTTGGATGCTCTGGACGTTCCTCAGACGCTCTTGAACCTGGCTGCTGTCTCCGCCATAGTCTGGATCACCCCAGGTCACAACAGCCCCAGATTCAAGAATGGCAGCAAAAGCAGCGGCGTTTGCCTGGATGTACTGGACGTTCCTCAGCTGCTCTTGCAGCTGGCTGCTGTCTCCGCCACCTGTTGGAGTACCCCAGGTCACAACAGTCCCAGATTCAACAATGGCAGCAAAAGCACCGTCAGTTGTTTGGATGTGCTGGACGCTCCTCAGCTGCTCTTGCACAGGCCTGCTGTTTCCACCATACAATTGATGGCCCCAGGTCACAACGGCCCCAGATTCAAGAATGGCAGCAAACGCACAGTCAGTTGCTTGGACGCTCTGGACGTTCCTCAGCTGGTCTTGCACCTGGCTGCTGTCTCCTCCGACTTCTGGATCACCCCAGGTCACGCCACAACGGCCCCAGATTCAAGAATGGCAGCAAAAGCGCGGTCAGTTGCTTGGATGCTCTGGACGTTCCTCAGCTGGTCTTGCACCTGGCTGCTGTCTCCGCCCCAGTCTGGATCACCCCAGGTTAGCACACCCCAGATTCAAGGATGGCCGCAAAAGCACGGGCAGTTGCTTGGATGTGCTGGACGTTTCTCAGCTGCGCTTGCACCTGGCTGCTGTCTCCACCAAATTTTGGCTCGCCCCAGGTCACAACCTCGTCTTCCAGGCCATGCCATGCAATTGCCTTATAAGTAGCTACGAGTTTGCCAAGCTGCAACACAGCGACCACCACATCCCCATCCTGCAATCCGGCCTCTCCCAGCGTGGCCGTCAATTCGAGCTGCAGACCTTTCGCAGTAAGCTTCAAGCGGCGTTGAAAATGCCGCTGTGCTGCAGCCTTCAGCTCGCTGACGGGTGTAGCCGGCGAGACTTCTACGGGAAACCCATCTCCACTGGGCAAGTGAACATCCACCTTCATGGCGCAGGAAGGTTCTTCTGGGTGCATGAAAGTTGCCAAGCACGAGCCTGAGACACTAACATGCAACTTCCAGGGCGCGTATTTCATGATTTTTACAGGTGGAGGTTGACACTGGGCTTGAACCGTCCCTGTGAGGACCCGGCGATGTTTTGCAGTCGTGACTTTCTTTCGGGCTCTTTCTTCCCTTCCAAACCAACCAAAAAGCAGCTGAGGACAAGGCTGTGGGTCAAAAATTTGTAACAAAGCTACTTGCTGCCTGGATCTTAGGCCGCGCTGTGTTGGCCCAGCTGTGCGGCAATGGGTCCAAATGGCTTGCCCTGGTAATTAAATGAAGCCAAGGACTACCCGCGGTCCGATTGGCGGCCACTAATTTTGACCCATCACAAAGCCCCGTGCAACATCTCAGGGCGGTGCCCACTGCCAGTTGAAGCTGGCCCTCTCCCGAGCCTCAGGAGGGCATGCAGCGAATGAACCCGGCAGAACAACTCCCCCCATCCCCTGAAGAAAAAAATGGCCTTGGGGCCCAATTTAGATGGCGCCTGAAGAAAAAAATGGAATGGCTTTATTGAGGTTGGTTGGTGTAATGGTGGTGTGAACCCCAGAATAAAGGTACTCAATGACAGTAGCCAAATTGAGCACAGGTGTTGCTACGCGATCAAAAAGCGAAAAGCAGAAACGCAAGCACCATGCGCACACGAGCAATGCTTAAGCCTCCGGCATATCTGTGAGTGTCTGTTCGGAAGGTTTTCAGATGCTTGGACATTGCACCTGGCCAGATTTTGCCATGCTGATTGATAGCATGCCCGCTGGAAAAGGGGGGGGCATGCAGCCAGAGCAAATGGAGCGATCCATTGGCTGGAAGCTGTTGAAGCGATGCTGCTACTCGGTTGTCGCAAACTGCAGAAAGTATGATCATCCTTCTGATCCTTTAACAAGGATGCTCGTGCGTGGCTTGGGATCGTGTTGCGCCATATCATGCCATATCCATCGGCACGCAAAGAGAACCACCAAGGAGCCAAGTGCTCAACATAAAGTTGCCGCATCTTCTGACTTTCAGTCCACGTTCAACATCCCGAAAGGTCGAAGTGGCACGTTCGTGCCCAGACCTCCTAACATATGAATAGAGGTGGAACGAATCATGTTCAAAGCCATGGACCGAATGGAATTTCGATGCACATTGCCATGATGCCAAGGCTCTCACTACAAACAAAACAAGCAGCGCGTCCTGCCGATTTCGTGATCAGCTCCGCTTTGATGTAGACGTCGTTTCCTTGACACGCAGCACTGCACAGCCAGCATGCAAATTGCACCAAACGCATCCATGTGTCGTTCGCCAAAATCCTGCGGCAGCGAAGCAGCAAACAGCAGCAACCATGTGACATGGTGCACAAAATATGTGAATTCGAGGATGTGAAACAGAAAGCTCCTTGTATACCGTGATGTCCGTGAGCTCCTTTATGCGAACACCTGTCAAGCAAACAAATCAATGTCTGGGCGCGTGTCATTCCAAGTGCCGCTCAGCCCCTGGCGGATTTCAAACGGCACCTCGCAAGGCAGCAGAACAGACTGGCTGCCCAGCTCCCGTGACGACTGAAGCTGCCGACTAGCGCCTATTCAACCGAATCCCGTGACCGGTTTATCTCTTGAATTCACTGCATATATTATGAACAGCATTGTGTGATGAGTTGGCTTGTTGCCTCACTTGGGGTTCCTCACAGCCCACATGGCGTCTTTTGAAGCTGCTGGCTGTGGAGTCTGACAGGGAGGCTCAAAGCAATAAATCGCCTTGGTTTACCCCTTGGTGAGGCAACACCTGCTTCAAGCTTATTGACAACTTGTGGGCTTGTCTCAAAATGGGGGAACCCAAGTGAATGTCGGTTTTTTCCGCTTTGTTTGCCTTGAAAACCTATGCTTTTTAACACAAAAAAGGGGGACAAACTCAAAAGGACACATGTGAGTCAAGCGCATTCTATCCAAGGCCCGCGGGTGCACTCTTGGCTCCGGGCGGTGTCGTAGGAAGTGAAGCGCACCTCATTGGCAAATCAGATTTGATCAAAAGACAGCGGAAAGAACTTGCAGATATCGTCTGTGAGCATCTGTCTGGGCATGAAAACAATCATCTCGGAACCGGAAATGGCACCTGGATGTTTCTGCCAGCCCTTTGCATGTACCTGCGTGTTCCTGAGGCTCACATGGCTCACAATTTGGACAATGTTACCAATTTCCATGCCCGAACCATTTGAGTCACAATCAAAACCCGGTACAAAAATGGTCCACCCAGAACCATGTAAAGAACTAAGAAGGCGGCCGCAACTATTTATGGCTGGGATTGTCCCTCACCAACCTTCATCTACCCGGGTTTTGATTGTGTCTCATTTGGTAAAAAACTGCTCTCAACTCTGCGGCCGTTTGCGCCTTGCTGATGGGATCGTCCGCCTCCGCTAGGTCTGCCTAGGCCGTGCGTTGGGCTTCCGAGTTGCGACGAAAATCCGAAGGGCCCGGCCCACATGCGAAGGGCTCCCACTGACCTGGCAAAGGTCAAAAACCGGCAAAGCAACCGATCACTGCAGAATCCGGTTGCGCAATCCACTGCCCAGCAAATCATTGGAAAGCTTGGTCATACAGCAAGTTGAGGTAAACTCACAACATTCGCCCGTCGATCAGCAAACGCTGCTGGTGCGCGCTTCTGAGAGAATAAAGGATCCGGGTGGTGCAGCATGATCGTCCTGAGCCGAGCTGAGGATTCAGTGGGTCTGCTTACTCATCAGCAAATTTGCAAGGGCTGAGATTCGCAACACATGGATGTGTCTTAAAATGGGGGTGTCCTCCCCCAACAAAAAATAAGCTAGCATAAACAAGTAAAAAATGTTGGCTTCCCTTTGGTTTCCCTTTATTTGTATAAACCAACCCCAAAAAGGCGATCACCAAAAAAAACAGCTGAGGGCCAGGCTCAATGGGCTGAGGCATTGAGGGTGCAACCCAAGCCCTATTCTCAGCTTCGCCTGCCCAACTCAAGCCATTGCGGAGAGGCAAACCAAACTGCCTCCAAGCTGCCTCTAACTATCCCGGCCAGAGACCCCAAATAGTGACACCTTGCTCACTGCAGGTGATAAACAAGCGTAAACACACCAATGTCCCTTCGTAGCTTCTGCAAGTTCTGATGAGCAAGCTTGGTGCAGCGCTTCGAAAAATATATTCTGTCAACTTCTCTTGCGCGCTACGCTGTGTTTTGACGCTGCTGCGGGTGAAGCTACGCGTGATGTTGCGGATGATGCTGCGCAGGCATGATGTTGCACACGATGCTGCGCGCGACGTTGCGCACGATGCCGTGCATGATGCTGCGCGTGATGTTGGCGGTTTTAGTTGCAGAAGTGTACTTGGCACACTACTTTTGCGCCCGCAAGTTGCGATTTTCGAGCTGGAGATGCGAGAGCGCGCTTTCCGAACATCACATCCGCGCTTAAGAATTGAAGTTGCGATGTTCGAGCTTCGAGAGCTACCTTTTGCGCGAAAACACTTACGACTTCGCAGCCGGAGCTGGAGCTGCTGCGGGAATGCACTTCGCGCACACCTTTGGCCGGAGCCATGGGAACGCACTTCACGCGCCACTTTTGCACTTAAAAGCTGCGATTTTGCAGCCGGAGCTCTCTGAAATCTCTTAAAACTTGCGAATTTTCAGCCGAAGCGCTGCGGGGGCGCACTTCGCGTGCCACTTTTAGCCGCGCCTCTGGAAATGCTGTTCACGTACTTCCTTGGCACGGTACTTAAAACTTGCGATTTGCCGGAGCTGCGGGAGTGCGCTTCGCGTACTACTTTTGTACCTACAACTTGCGTTTTCGCAGCCGCGCCTCTAAGAATGCTCTTAACGTACTTGTGTACTTACAACTTGCGGATTTTCAGCCGGAGCTGCGGGAGTGCGCTTTGCGTACTGCTTATGCACTTACAATTCGCGATATCTTCGCAAGCAAAGAAAGCAGAAAAATCGAACGGCACCACAGCGAGAGCGCTTCGACACGTTCGCCGAGCTCAAGACAAATTCGCACGGCGCCGCAGCGAGAGCGCTTCGACACGCAGTACCTCCGCAGACAGAGCGCTTCGACACGCAGGATCTCCGCAGAGGGTTTGCCGAAAGCAAGACGCATTCGCGGTGGCGCCACAGCGAGAGCGCTTCGACACGCAGAATCTCCGCAGAGAGTTTGCCAAGCTCAAGACAAATTCGCACGGCGCCACAGCAAAAACGCTTCGACACGCGCAATCTCCGCAGAGGGTTCGCCGAGAGCAAGACGAATTCGCACGGCGCCACAGCGAGAGCGCTCGACACGCAGGATCTCCGCAGAGGGTTCGCCGAGAGCAAGACGAATTCGCACGGCGCCACAGCAAGAGTGCTCGACACGCAGGATCTCCGCAGAGGGTTCGCCGAGAGCAAGACGAATTCGCACGGCGCCACAGCAAGGGCGCTTCGACACGCACAATCTCCGCAGAGGGTTCGCCGAGCTCATGACAAAGTCGCACGGCGCCACCGCGAGAGCGCTTCAACGCGCACGATCTCCGCAAAGGGTGCACTTTCGTCTTGCAACGCTTGCAAATGAGTGAAACGCTGCGCCTGTCACGCATCCTATAGGCTGCCAAATATGATGATGCCACGCAGAACGCTTTTCCAGGTCCGAAACGCGAAAAAAACATTTCGGACCGCGAAATTCGTTTTTTGATGAGAAGGACCGCTGAATATGATGCCAGATTCGGTAGCTCAGTTGGCCCCAGGCTCTGCGCGGTATTGTTTCGGAATTGCGCAGGTATCGTTCGAGGCATCGTTTTCATCTCAGTACAATTCAGCCCACATGAAGTACACTTTGACTTTGACTGCCCAGCTGAAACATCGCAGCTTTTAAGTACTAGCAGAAGCCGCCCCGGCTCAAGCAGCACAACTGTTCAGTAAAGCTTCATCCCATGACAACACATAACCTTCCGCGAAACTTCCGCTTGCCCTTCCGCAGTCTTCCGCAACCACAGCGCCATAACACCGAATATGCTTTCGTATTCAGTCCTTACAAAACAAAAAAAACCATAGGGGTTTGGTCGATCCTCATGTGTATGTGTATGTGCGTGCATCCCTTGCCTGCCCAAGTGCGTCCATGTGCGTGCGTGCGGAAGAGCGTGAAAGCGTGTGAGAGCGTGCAGGTGTAAGTGGTGTGCGTGTTCGTGGGCGTGCGCGCGTGCGGGCATGTGCAAACGCTTGTCCAGAAAGAGACTGGAATCCCCCGAGCAAGGGAATGCTGAATGAAGAAAACTCGAATAAATCTATATTCAGGGCACGTTTGTCTGATTTTGAAGCATCCGCTCCCATTGGAAGTGTTCTCAGTCGAGGACAAAGTGCATAGAACTTAGCTCCTGGCTCTCATCGTTGGCCTGAGCCGGCCAAAGAAAGCATTCCACTCCCCCAAATAGAGCCCCCCCCCGCACCTACCCCCCTGCCCGGCCCCTGTAGGCCATCGACTGTCCTAAAGAGAATGGTGGGTGCGCGTGGGATGGCTACATCAAAAGCTTGGCTCCAAACCAAAGGCTCGGGTCCCATGCAACGGAACCTAGCTGACAAGTGGGCCAACCACCGAAGGAACTGATGTCCACCTTGGGTCCCCAAGTAAATGCTGTTTTTTAGGTTGAACTGCAAAAAGAAGACCAACATCCTTTCTATTCGGTGGGGTCCAAACCCAAGACGAGCCACCCGGGCTCGGTTACCACTGCGCCTTGAGGGCCCCGGCGGCTTTGACGACAGAGGTATGGTCCTTCAACCAGGCTGCGCTGGATGCCTACCATGTGGGAGTCAGCGGAAAACATGGGCCGGACGACTTTTTTGGAGTTGGCACCCCCATTTTGTTTTCCTGGTTTTAGGAAACCCCAAAGGGTGAAACCCAGGGTGTGTCAGTTAGGATTCGGAGCCCCCAGTATTTGGATATGCGTGTCAATGTGTCAAAAGGTCAATTCGCTTTGGGCAAGTGAGCATAGCCATGGGAGCAACAAGTATTTGAGCGCAGTTAAAGCTGTATCTATTAATTACTTCTCATCCTGGATGCTACACGTCAAGGGGTCCAAGCCTCAAGTGGCCTAGAAAAAAAGGCATGGCAACGTGCTGCAACCTTACAGTCTCAGCTTTTGTACTGCTATCCTTTTCCGTTTTCCTCGGTTTACAGAGATGTTCATGGTGTTGGAAGATAATGGAGGTACCCATACTACTTCAACGGTACGCGGTTTTGGCGCTGGTCTCCTTCCAAGTGGCCCTCGGTCCGAGCAAACCTAAGCCGGTGTTCCGACTGCCGAGAATCGGCATAGACAATGTGAACGACCATGGTGATGGAATTCATAACGAATGTGTCCTGATTCTCATCGAAAATGGTTAGCCGAAGGGACACCATCACGGCCGACACCACCATACAGGTGCCTCTTAAGATTGGGGACCCCAAGAAGTTGGCGGATTTGTCCCTTTAAACCAGCCCCCCAAAAAGGGTACCCGCCCAAAAGACAGACCCAGTGCCACAGGCACCCAAATTCAGCTTCCGCCTCACGCAGGCGGCAATGCACCATGGCAGACCACCGGTCCTGTCCCATCGGCCCCGCATTCGGCTGCGCCCTTCTTTGAGCACATCTCTACAACCGCAAGCAAAAGTCAGTTTTTGTTCCCCTTGAAAGGAATCCGAAAACGGGTCTTCAAAGTGATTCCGTGCCAACCTGGCATAGGAAGGCTGGTATCAGGAAATCCCCGTAGCCACAATACTGAACAACAAACACAAACCTGCGATTCTTAACGTGCAGGGCTACAGATTTTCATGGTGTGGCCGTCCTTGCCGGAAGAAAAATGGCCGGCCAGAACATGAAACTACTTCGAGAAAGTGCATTGGTCGCGGAAAAGAAATGCAACATCATGCGTCGCCCCCTATGCTTGCTAGAAATCTTCATGGTACAGCGAAATACGGTTTGCACCAATGCAACATTCCAGAACATCATGAAACGCAGGCACGATGAGTTGCCTCATTCAATCAAGAAGTCATGTTTCCGAAGCTGCCCTGGCGATTGGTACCGCTGAGGGACCCGTCCTCAATATCTATCCTGCTTTGACCGATCAGCGTCTCTTTCCCGAAGACTGATTTGCCGGCGTACACCTGGCAGTTGAAGCGAATGCTCCAAATGTCGCGTCTCTCCTTAAGGCATCCAAGCTCTGGCGATCCGTCCAAGCAACTTCGATGTGTTTGACATCGTCGGTTG